AAGAAAGTTCCTATATATATATATATATATATAAATAAAAAATATGTAAAACGATGATATTTAACCACCGGGAAGGTTAAAGTGGGGGCTGGAGTGTCAAAACTAACAAACAGGCTGTTACTCGGTGGGGGAAGGGAAGCTGTCCAACGCCGAACACACTTCGCAAACATTTTGATAGTGCAAGACAAAAAAGGAAACTCTTTTAATCCAGCGACATCGATACATTAGTCGTCAGGAGTGCGGAGGTGAGTTTATATGCGAGGGTTATCAGTTGAATCAGTGAAACAGCTGCAGCGGTTTGTGATCTGTTAGCCAACTTGACATGAGCAAAACCTGTTGTTGTAAGTATTTGGTCGCGTAGCAAAAGCTTACTTAACAGCTTTAAGCTTACCTTAAACTTACCTAACAATTATTTATTTGTTTGTACGAGAGCAAATAGCCGTTAGTTTTGAAGACGAGCATGCTAGCTGTGTAATTAGCAGGCTAATGGCGAGATACTCAAGGGAGTTGGAAAAGTAAACAGTGGTGAAAAAGTAACTAGTACGTTGTCCATTTATTAATCTGTACTATATTGCTTTTTAGTTTACAGTGTGTGTGCGAAAATTCGTTGTCTACTAGATAGAAAAACATTGTGCCAGCTGTTACAGTTTGTCTTTGGGGAAGTATGTGATGTTAATACATTTGAAAGAATCTGATATATTGTGAGCAGTCGCTGCAAATAATTAATGATCGTAAAATCGTACACGACTTCAATCAACGCTGTGCTTATTCATCTTTTATTTAAACACGTGTAAAATAAAATAGCGACGATTTGGGAACGAATCGTGCTTTAGAGTCAAATCTTCAGTTGTTCTGTGCTTATCTTTTATTTAAACACGTGTAAAATAAAATAGCGACGATTTGGGAACGAATCGTGCTTTAGAGTCAAATCTTCAGTTGTTAAATGAATCATTTAAATCAGTTCACAAAAACGGTTCGTTCACACATCAGAAATTATTTTGAAACGTACTGTTCAAATGAACCGATTCGCGGAAATGAATCAGTTCGTGGGCGTGGCTTACAGGACTCGACCAATAGCGTTTCAGTGGGCGTGTACGTAACCCGTTCTATTATTACTCAATGTGTTTTACGATGTCCAGCTTTCATTTAAACAGCTAGCGACGTTACGCACAAGATAAACAGAGAGGTGCTCATTATAACCCATTAACCAGGTAAGGAAGGCAAACGTATGGATATATAGGCGACATATTACGATGAAATCTGCTTTTAGTCGGTGTTGCCATTGTTATTATATGATTGCTTAAACAAAGGACAGTGTAAATAGTGCAGGTTGCCGTGGAAACCTGATTATCTTAGTGCTCAGATCCACCTGCTACAAGTTCTAGTTGTAGTCAGTCTGTTTAATTGATAATGAAACAAACTCATTGTGATTTAAGAGGAGTGTAGGTGTACTTTACTTCTATTTCTTTGTCCTAAACAGTGACCCCATAATTAGTGACGTGTCACTGATGTTAGCTTAAAAGACTAGAGTATTTGTGTTGTGTGAAGATGTGATCTGGTTATTTATTAAGGGAACTGTTAACACTTATACCTCACAAGCACTTCTTTATCCCGTTGTGATTGTATTTTCCCCATAAGTTAATGACACTGTCAACCCTAACAGCAATGCCATATAACGCACTTCAGTGCTTTTACTACACTCCTCCCGTTTCCAAATAGTTTTAGATTCTGGAACCTAATTGAACAAATGGGGGAAAAGTAATAATTTGTACTCCACAGCATATTTTTTTATTTTTCGCAAAAAACTGATCTATTTAATTTATTTAATTATAAAAAAGCTGGTATATGAGGTGAAAAGATCACTCCATATATGAAGAGTGTTAAATAATCATATTACATCAGTAAATATGTATCATGCATTCAGTTCAAATCTATTGTTATGTAGTCAGTAGTCACATTTGCTTCTGACCGCTTCTGAATGTTTGAATAATCCAATTACAAAGAAATTTGACCCTGGCTTTCATTTAATGTGATTGGATCACCTGAGACAGATGTCAGTTCCAGGTGTGATTGAGAGAAGTTTCTGACCGTAGGAAATGAAATTCAGTCCACTTCCCCATCCCCTCTGTAAAGTACAAGTAAAGCCTCATCATTTAAAATATGGGACAAGTTACACCCCAAAGTTTAATACTTAAGCTTAGCAGTTTGTTCATATCGAACCTAGAGCTTGAGCAGTAGTAATTATGATGCAGCATTCTGCATGCTTTCCTTTGTTTTGATCTCTATATGTTGATTGTGCAGTTCTCTGCTGTATTTGTTAAATACTTTTGATTCTTGGCTATATATATATATATATATATATGTATGTCTGTGTGTTTTTCTCAATGTAGGAAACCATCAACTTGGGGATTTATCTCAAACGCAAAACCCTTTAAGGACAGCATTTCTAGAAGTGCTTTCCTAAAATTACCATCACACCTACCTTTTTAAAAAAAATTCAAACAGACTTCAGCGGATTTCAAAACGAATAGTTATTCTTATTTAATAATGTTGTTGTGATGCTTAAATTGACTCTAATGCTTTGAAATTATTATTTATTGGTTAATTTACCAAATATACCAAATTAAGGTGCATCATTTCCAGTTATTTTCATTATTTCCCAGGTATTATTTTTTAAATTATCTTTGGTACCATTAGTAGTGTTTGTCAAGGTGTTCTGTAATGGTCACTGTGTTGTAGAATGTTTTCTTGGACTTTCTTGGCCAGCGTCTTCAGTGATCCTGTTGCTCTTGTTGGAGAGATACTGAGTGTATTTATCTGAGCTGTTCTGTATCTGATCCAGCGCAGGGCCTGTCACAGGGCAACACATGTGATCACAGAGGCTTACTGTACACTAGCCAGACAGTGGAGGTTTGTGTGCACATCCTTTTTGATAAGTATGTTCTGAAGAAACTTTGAGTTTTAACGTCAGAATTACGCACTTTCTCTTTCTCATCAGTATGCACCTGTGTCTTTTGCAGCTTCTCAAACATAACGTGGTGTAGTCATGAGGTGCTAGTTCAAATTTAAAAAATGCTTCTACAAAAAGAGTTTCATCTGCAGATATGGTCTTGTTTAGATATCTGTGCCTTTGAGCATATGGATATCTGACTGCTAAGTAGTGATTGTGTTTTTCAGCAATAGTGTGCACCCTTCATTTACAGAGAAAAGAAGGTTAGGGGAAAATATGTAGATGGAAAAATCTCCATATAAGTTCTTTGTGCATTTTTCTTTTTTTCAACTTTGCACTTTTTGTTAGAAAATGTTTATTTACTATTTATTCAGGTTTTTTAAGGTATCTAATATTTTGATACTTAATTTCCATGATTTAAATATTTTTAAAAATTAAGTTTGTTGTCATTTTGAAGTGTGTAGGCCTTCTTGCATTATTATGCTGTTACATTACGATTATATATTCAGTGTCATAAAATGGTCTTAAAATGACAGTTATATCACTTATCGCAATTATTTCTGGGGCAATATATCGCACAAC